ACAAAGTGAAACAATGAGGTCAGCGTGCAGCAGACGTAACGCAGGAGAACTTCAACAGAAGGTGCTGTGCAGCTGTTTCTAATACAGTGCTTTATAAAAGTATTTACCCTCCTGAAAACTTTCCACATTTTGCTTGCGGCTGAGCTTGCAATTACGACTTCATATTTGGAATCTACACAACCTAATCCAAATGGATAAAGCTAAAAAAAGCTTAAAAGTGTATTAGACATTCAATGAGAATTAAAAGATTCTGAGGTGCATGAGTATGCGGCTCCCTTACATCAGTTCAAGTGGAAAAGAATAATTTGATTGGCCACATAATTACTGCCACAGCCATCGGCCACATCCCCCTGCAACTGGCAGCCCACTGGAGCTCAGAAGGTATGAGCCTGGCCAGTAACTGGAGGGGAGACTCTTAGGTTGCTGCTGGAAGAGGTGTTAGTGGGGCCAGCAGGGGGTGCTCACCCTGTGGTCTGTGTGGCTCCTAGTGCCCCAGTACAGTATAGGCGCCGTCCTTCGGATGAGATGAAAAACCGAGGTCCTGACTCTCTGTGGTTATTAAAAATCCCAAGGCGTTTTTCAAAAAGAGTAGGGGTGTGGTAGGTGTTAACCCCAGTGTCCTGGCCAAATTTCCCCCCTGGCCTTAACCATTCTGGGCCTGATAATCCCCATCTCTGAACTGGCTTCATCAATCTGTGGACTCGCAGGAAACTGGTACGGAATGCCACTGTGACAATACTGATCTTCAATCTTGCATGAGATAATACTGCCATGTAGCAGAAGCTGTTGTGATCAGGCAAGAGATAAACTGAACAAAATGCAAAGCATTACACTTGGTGCTAGCCCACCACAGCACATCAGCCAGTCAGCACTAGCCCAGCTGTCAGGCATCATGCGATTGGCCTGCTTCTCTCTAGCAGGGGCGAGGCAAACGGACAGTGCACAGTGACCAGTGAGTTCTACAGAAAAAAAACAGCTTGAGTTGCTCAAGAATCGAAAACTGGGCTGAAAAAATGGGTCGATTTCAGCAGGTCAATGACACAAAGCAAAGACAAGAGCTACACTGGAGTGAAAGGTAATGTCCTTGAGGGGCCCAGTCACAATCCTGCATTGAATTCAATAGAAAACTTATGGCAAGACTTGAAGACTGCAGTGCCTCAAGCTGGTTCAGACACCTCCTAAAATCCTGAAAGCAGGAATTGCTGCCACCAAGAATTGACTTAGGGGCCTGCAAACGTACTCATGCAATCAGTACACTTCACTTTGCATGTTTTCTTTGCACACATTCAGCCTGCTTCACACATGAAAGTGCCCAGTTTGATTATTGCAGTGCATTTGAGGACAACTGTAAACTCTGCTTGTTCATTAGAATGTGCCGCAGTTGGCAGGGGGAGCTCTGTGCACGCAGTTCTGCGAGGCCCGACGAGATGAGACACCGTGATCGGGACAGACCTGACCTCAGGCTCCTCGTGAGAACAGGCCTGACTGCAGAGATGAACAAGTGTGAACCAGAGCAGGTGAGATAGACACGACTTAGCAATACCCTTGAGTACGTGATCCAGGTCTTTTTCACGTCTGCACTTCTTTACGCAAAGGGTGGTGGGAGTCTGGAACCAGCTGGATAAGATCCTGGGATCAATAAGCTGCTAAACGAAACTACTGACTAGTACTTCACTACCTACCTAAACCTCTAAAGGTTGTTCTAAAGCAAGCAGGGCTCGAGCTGAAAATGAATGGCAGCACTAACAGACTCATTCCTTTGTTTGCTTTAACAAGTAATTTTCCATCAGGTGCTGACTTTTCATTCTGGGTCTGAGTTGTTATAAAACACAGTACAGGCATCTCCTATCCTGGAGATCTGGGTGTGGACTCTTCAGAATGGAAAATTGTAATGTTATTGCAACACAGCTGGGAGACACGTCTAAAGCCAGTTAACTCTAAAGCAAATGTGCATTCAGTTTCAGTTTCTTAACTGGAAAGGAGTAATTCAGAGACGTCCAGTCCCTCACAGAAAGGAGTGCTTACAGGTGCTCAGATAATGTGCTTCAAGAGAGAGGACGCAGGACTGCAGAGCCCAGCTTGAGGGTGGCTGCACTGTAATGATGAACCGTACATGGGTGTAATTAATGGTCATAAACTCATGCCCACTTCCAAAATTAATGACACAAACATTTTGATAAACAGTGACTCAGCTTGACAGTGGTTCCCATGAACTGTTTCAGAAATTACAGCTGACAACATATTTGCACGATTAAATATTACTTATTTCAGACACTGAAATAATTAAAGAAAATATTACTTAAAGTTGTATGTAGTCAAAGCTTGCCAGCATACATCATTAATGATAAAAAAAGACCATTTCTTTTCTTGTATTGCTGGAAATAATGTATATTAGGGGCAGATTTGTTTACAGAAAGAGATAAAAGGACAAGAATAGCCTTCAACAGAAAATGGTTTTGCAATCTAAATGAATACAGTCTCTGTTGAGATGGCAAAGACCGCAAACACACAAGGCCAGCTGCAGAAAGGGGAGGCTGGGCAGCTGTCCCAAAGAGAGACTCGGTGCTTTCCTTGTGCTTTGAGCTTCTGCAGGAGCCGAGAGGTCGCAGTGAGGGGGGGAGCTGCCACTGGTAGTGATGCACTACAGCCCTACGTGGCACTACGGACCATGAGGTTCTGCTCCAGATGGGTGGGTAAAACTCAAAAGGAAACATCACTGACACCTGCCCCGGCCACCCACCCACTCCGGGTGACAGAGCTTCACCTAAGACCCAGACACAGTTGAGCTGGGCTTGACGTTCTCTGACAAGTCCTACTGCACAGGCAGGAGCAAATCAGTGATTCTGCAAACTCTAGCAATGCTCTCAAGTCAAGGACTGGGCAGGACTTATAAGCACCTGGTGCTGTGTGTGTGTGATGGCAGACTGCGCTGTGCTCACCTGGTGCTGTGTGTGTGATGGCAGACTGCGCTGTGCTCACCTGGTGCTGTGTGTGTGTGAAGGCAGACTGCGCTGTGCTCACCTGGTGCTGTGTGTGTGTGATGGCAGACTGCGCTGTGCTCACCTGGTGCTGTGTGTGTGTGATGGCAGACTGTGCTGTGCTCACCTGTGTGCTGTGTGTGTGTGATGGCAGACTGCACTGTGCTCACCTGGTGCACTCCATCCCCTGGACTGTGGACAGAGCGGAGCTGCCTGAGGTGAGCTCTGGACCTGCTCAGCCCTCGGAGGATCTCGAACACCCTTCCCACTGCGGTGCGGGCCACGTCATCCGTCAGCTCAGAGGCAGAACAACACCCTTGAAGGACAAGCAGACACAAGTTTCCTTTCACACCTCAAAACACAAAACAAAAAAGAGAGTGATGTCTGTCGGCCAGATGTTCACCTTGGACACACCCCAAAATGACTCCACAATAACTGGGACCACGACACATTTCTTTATCCAAAACAGACCTGGAAGACAGGTATTTTCTTAAAATAATAATAATAAACTTTATTTCAAATAGCACCTTTAAAGGTGGCTTTTCAAAGCGCTTTACAGAATGACATCAACAACAAACACAAGATATTCACAGTGAGAGGAGACAGCAGAGGGGGGCACAGAATACAGGAGGAGCAGAGGGGTAAATGATAGAGCCAGTGAAGTAAAGGCCCTCCTAAAGAAGAAGGTTTCGAGTCTGGATTTGAAGGAGGTTAGGTAAGGCGACTCTCTGAGATCCTTGGCAATAGAGTTCCAGAATTGTGGGGAGCAGCAGGAGAAGCCCTGTCACCCCTAGATTATAGACCAGAATTAGAGGAGCAAAGGCTGAAAGACAGGAAACATTCTGACTTCAGCTCTGACAATGGAAACTGGGGTGTAGGACTGGACCCTGGAGACCACCGATACAGCTTGTCTGGATTTTAGATTTAGCTAAAAAGACAAATATCATCATGGTTGGCACGGTGCCCCAGTGGTCCGGGGCCCGGAGATCGATTCCGGACCTGGGGTGCTGTCTGCGTGGAGTCTGCATATTCTCCCCGCGTTTCTGTGTGTTTCCTCCCGGTGCTCCAGTTTCCTCCCACAGCTCAGAGACATGCTGGTAGGATAGTCGGCTTCTGGGAAAATTGGCCCTGGCGTGAGTGTGCGCGCGCAGTGGACTGGCAAACACAGACACCAGGGCCAGGCGTGCCCTGCTTTGAGCCCGGGATAGGCCCCAGCTGCCCTGTCACCTAACATTGGCTAAAGTGGTTAGAAGATGGATTGATGGATGGATGTAAAACTATCACCCCTGAACAGCACATGAGCTGCCGAGTAAAGACTCCAAATATATTCATACCTTAAGACTTGTGTTTTATGCACTTAATAAACTACGATTTCGGCAGCTCCTCTGAGTGAACATAATGAAAATATTTTCTCTAAAAATGATACTGTAAACTTTTTCAGAGAGACTGAAAAGATTAGCCATTCCAAGGAAACTTGCCTATATGTACATATGTAGCACAGTACAGAGATAAGCTGGGTGATTGATGTGCCCAAACAAGAGTCCAGCACAGGAAACACATAGCTGGTTTCACATTTTCTGCTTCAACTAAAATTAAGAGTGCTTCCCAACACAATTTCCCAGACCACTCATTTATTTTGTTAATTGCATTACTGGATAATGATTTA